ACATTGTGCATGGGTTTATGGTATCTCTTCAAGACCTAGGTGATATTTATGCCTCCCATCCCCAACACTGGACACGTGTTGCCTAGTATAGATTATAGATGGGTGATATTAAATGTCTGTATCCCAGCCCAGATGCAGGAGACTGTCCCCTTCACAGCTGTGTTAGTGTGTGTAGTACCTGATGCATACGAGTCACTCAACACGTATTTATTGAAGTGATTTAAATATGGCCTATCAGCCATATAAACACACATACCTTGGAAATAATACCCTAGAAGCACAGGGGTGAAATTACCTGCTCCCATGAAAAGCCTCGCAAGCTGGTCACGGTGGGTCAGTAACAGCACCTGTGAGACTTTTAAACATTGAGAACTTGGGAATTTGAATTAGAATAATGGTTCTCAAATTTGCCTATTGGATGTGGAAAAATGTATCTAGACTTATTTCAGTTAATACTGACACTTTATGGTTTGTAACAGCTCCTGGATGAACAGGTTTGAGAACCACTGATTCAGAAAGGGCCTATGGCCCTGGCTGGCTGAGGTCAGTGGACCTGTGAATCTGAAGGGCACTTTCTGTGTCCCTTGTTTAGGAGGGTCAAAGCTGTCGACCTGTAAACAGGTCAAGTCACTGTCTTCTTGCTGTTGCAGTGTCATAAAATTTGTTTACATCTGTTCAAAAACCTTGTTTACTTTTTTTTGTAATGTTCTGCTCTTCATAAGGAATACAGGCTGTTTTAAAACAGTCTTGGTAAGGCAGTTTATAGAAGCTGAAGGTTGCTAAATATTGCTAAGGCAGCTAGCCTGGTAATCATGGACTCTATGCAAAGCACTTTAAACAAATTACCTGCCCCCCACCCCCCCAATAGCTCTAGCTGGAAATAGCTCAGGGGCATGGGAGGGAGGGAGTCGCCCCAAGAGAGTGGGTGAAAACAGTTGTTGGGATTTTATACTCACAGCTCCCAGGGTAAAGTAACCTCTCTAGTTATAATCAGACTCCTCTATCATGTAGGGGAAGCGTAGAAGGACGTTAGAAAACCTGTGAGGAAAAGCTGCTTCCTGTGGCCTTCAAATATCTCCTGGAGTAGCTGAAAGAGGAAGAGACTGAAATAAAAAGAAGTTAAAAGAAGCAAAGGCAGCCTCGAGCCTCATAGGTCCCACAGTACTCTGAAACCCAGGGAGCTAGGACAAGCCCTGGATGCTGAAGAAGGCAAGAGTTTGGGGACACCTTCCCACAGAACCAGGAAGCTGGGCGGGGCTCATCCCCAGGAGAGTAGATGGCGAACGCCCCAGCAGTCCTTAGACCCTGTAAATATTACATGTTTAGCCCAGTTATTCTGCATGAAGGCACGGTTTTTGATGTTTCTGTTAAACTATTGTAATACGTAGCTACATTTAAGAAACTGAGGTTAAATTATATAGAGAGTTTATTTGGGCCAAGATTGAGGATTGCCACCTGGGACACACTTCCCAGTGGCCTTGGGGAGAGCTCCTTTCAACCTTTGTTACAAGCAGGTTTTTAAAGGCAAAAGGGGCTGGGTGCGGTGGCTCACGCCTGTAATCCCAGCACTTTGGGAGGCTGAGGTGGGTGGATCACCTGAGGTCAGGAGTTCAAGACCAGCCTGGCCAACATGGTGAAACCCCATCTCTACTAAAAACACAAAATTAGCTAGGTGTGGTGGCACATGTCTGTAGTCCCAGCTACTTGAGACAGGAGAATTGCTTGAACTCAGTGGGGGAGGTTGCAGTGAGCTGAGATTGCGCCACTGCATTCCACCCTGGGCGAGACAGAGCGAGACTCCGTCTCAAAAGAAAAAAGGCAAAAGGGGACAAGGAATGGGCCAACACGAAGTCGCTTGACGGGAATACTCATTGATTTACGGTATAGGGTATGGATTGTGGTGTCCAGCATATGGCATTTTATGGCTACTTGGCATCAGTTCATCTGGAGCCCACATAGCAAGTGGTTTCAAGGTCATTATTAGCTCAAGGTGGGAGTGAGACGTGACCGCTGTCACACGTCATCACATTTCAGTGCATCTCTAGGCCTGATAATTAAAGGGGCTGCCCTTCCTCAGATGAGTTTCTTTTTCTTCTCAGCAGGGGGAAGCTTATGTATATTGATCTCTGTATTTCTGGGTACTTCAAGCAGACTGCATGCCCTGCTCTCAGCTGCTGAAACTCACATGTCCCATCCGATCTTCCTGCCACCCCAGAGTTTAACATGAAAATAAGCCTCTCTCTCCCTCTCTCAGAAGCTGCTTGTACCTGTGTTCCAGGGCTGCCGTAACAAAGTGTCACAAACCAGGTGGTTTAAGCAACAGAAACTGAGCGTTTCACAGTTCTGGATGCTGGAAGTCTGAGGTCAGCGTGCTGCAGGGGTGGCTCCTTCTGAGAGATGGGAGGAAGACTGTCTTCCAGGCCTCTCCCCTAGCTTCTGGGTGTTCGCTGGCAATCTTTGGCGTTCCTCGGCTTGTAGAAGACTCACCCCGGTTTCTGCCTTCATCTTCACACGGCGTTCTCCCTGTGTGCATCTACCTCTGTATCTGAATGTCCGTTTTGTAAGAACATCGGTCACTGGATTGAAAGCCCACTCTACTCCAGTATGACCTCATCTTCACCAGTTATATCTGCAATGACCTTATTGCTAGATAAGGTCCCATCCTGAGATGCCAGGGGTTAGGATTTCAGCATCTGAATTTTGAAGGGACGTAGTTCAGCTTATAACACTCCCCTTTTACCAATTCCATAGTCCCCAGCTTCAGCCACAGCAGTCAGGTCCCCTCAGCTGGTGTTTTATAGTGACCGTAACCTTCACCAGGGGATTTTAGCTCATGAGCTATTCCTAGCCAGCCCTGTGCTCTTGCACTTGGCATTGTGTTCGTTGCTCTACTCGCCTGGCACAGCTGCCTTTACCATTGCCAGTGGCCTCAGCTGAGAGGTGGGTGTGGGGACAGCGATGTGGGCAAGGTCAGGATGGTCTCCTTGCAGATCCCTGCACAGTGAACATTTGTTCACTGAATGAAAACACATGTGCAAATAAACAGCAACAGCAACAATAAACTTTGAAAAAAATTTCCAGAGTTCAGCACCCAAAGTAGACCATTTGTATGATTAAGTAACATCTTCATTCTGGCTTTGTGTTTAAGCCAGCTTAGCTCATGTCTGAATGCAATTCTTACCTGGCCGCAAAATCAGACAGGAGCTCTCCCTCCCCGCCTTCCCAGGTCAAACCTCTACTAATCCCCTTTTCGTCTCTGCACAGCTTCTGATCCAAACGACAGGGACGTCACAGCTGCCTCCTTCCATCCATGTCCCTTGCTGTAACTACTCCCATCTTCCCAGGTCTCTTTTCTTTCTGCCACGTGACATGCCCTCTCTTGGATTTCTCTTCTTGATGCCTCAGTGGTTCTGATGGCCCTGCTACCATGACACCTGGCACCTTTGTTCACCTGGCAGCTGACCTTCTGGTTGTTCACCTCTACCCTGCCTGGAAGGACTAGGAGCTTTCCTCCTTCACTCTCCTCGACCTGGCCCACCTCACTCTCTGAAGATTGTAGTCACTCCAGCCTCCCACCTCTTGAAACCACTTACTCACACCTCTAATACCCATAGTTGTAAGAGAATGAAAACTGTAGGCACACCTACTCTTACAACATTCATAAGACACTGTGAAAAACATGAAGATTATTATTTTCTTGTCTTTCTTTTCCTTTCCTTCCCTTTCCTTTCCTTCTCTTTCCCCTTTCCTTCCTTCCCTTTCCTGTTTCCTTTCCTTTCCTTTCCTTTTGTTTTTTTTCCCTCCCCTTCCCTCCCCTCCTCTCTCCTCTCCTCTTCTTTTTTCTTTTCTTTCTTATAAAGACAGAGTCTCACTCTGTTACCCAGGGTGAAGGACAGTGGCACGATCATAACTCACTGTACCCTTGAACTCCTGGGCTCAAGCAATCCTCCTGCCTCCACCTCCCAAGTAGCTGGGACTACCGGCATGTCCCACCATGCCTGGCTAATTTAAAAAAAAATTTTTTGCTAGAGACCAAGTCTCTCACTATGTTGCCCAGGCTAGTCTCAAACTCTTAGGCTAAGCAATCTTTCTTCCTCAGCCTCCTGAAGTGCTAGGATTACAAGTGTCACCCATCTTGCCTGGCCTGTTATTTTTATATATAATCTAAACCTCTATCAATGAGCTAAAAAAAATAGCTCAATATTTTATTTAACCTTTGGTAATAAGATCTGTCAGGATTCCTGACTAATACATTAGGAGACCTTTCTCCTTCTTCCCTATTCCTATTTGACACATATGCATTCATTCAGCCCGTACTGGCTTACTGCTTACTGTGTTCTAGTCACTGGTAACAAATTCTGATATTGGAAGGACTACAAAAGCACCTCTGCAATGCCATTTTCCAGCATGCAGGACTATACCCTAAGTTGCCACCCTCTTCCCAAAAAGTGAAATAAAAGAACTGGCAAGTGCGAAAAAGCTAGCTTTAAAGTTTTATGGAAAGGCATATTAACATCTAGAAATTTTCTCTTAGTAAATAATTAAGAATATGTGTAAACATTTAGCTTCAAACCTAGCCACCAAGCATTCTTTTGTAGTATCAAAATGATGGAAACCACCTAACTGTGTAACAGTAGGAGACTGGGCAAGCTGATACTCAGCAAACTCTCAAAAAGAAATTCAGTTCATTGAAGGGAATTCAAAGAAATAAAATGTAGAAGCATATCGTGAAAAGATGATCATGGTTTACAAAAGAGTGCATGTAATACAATCTCATTTTTATGTTAAAACACAGAACAATGTAAGAACTTGGTGATTAGAACCCAGAGCATTAGCTGTGACTCACTCTGGGTAGAGGGATGAGATTATAGGCCATTTTTTTCTATTTGCGTATCTCATTTTTCTGCGACGAACAAATACTACATTTGCTTTTGAAATAAAAAGAATATAAAGATACCCTTTTCTAAATATTTCCACATATGCCTTTTGACCCATTGCAGCTTATAGTGATTTAGGATACTACATTATCAATAAACTGCACCATGTGGACGAGTCGGTGGGGAGCAAGACGAGAAGGGCCTTCCTGTACCTCGCCGCCTTTCCTTTCATGGATGCAATGGTGAGTAGAGAAGATCATTGGCTTTCTTTCTTTTTCTTTAGCTGGTGGTAAAATATACATAATATAAAATTTACCATTTTAGCTATTTTTGTGTGTACAGCTTAATGTCAAGAAGGACATTCACATTGTTGTGTAACCAATCTTCAGAACTCTTCGTCTTGCAAAACTGAGATTCTGTCCTCATTCTGCCCCAGCTCTGGGCAGCCTCCATTCTACTTTGTAACTCTACAAATTCGACTACTTGATATACCTCAAAAGAGTGGAATCATACAGCACTTGTCCTTTTGTGACTGACTTATTTCACTGAGCGTGTCTTCAGGGTTTATCCATGTAGTCGCAGGTGTCAGAATTTCCTTCCTTTTTAAGGCTGAGTCACTTTCCAGTGAATGTCTAGGCCACATCTTGTGTATCCGTTCATCAGCTGATGGACACTTGCATTGCTTCCGCCTTTGGGTTCTTGTGAGTAATGCTGCTATGAACATGAGTGTGCAAATATCTGAGTCCCTGGTTTTGGTTCTTTGGGGTATATACCCAGAAGTGGAATTGCTGGATCATATGCAAATTTGATTTTTAATTTCTTGAGGAAATAGCGGACTGATTTTCATAGCAGCTATACCACCAGCAGAGTACTCAGGTTCCAATTGTCTGTTGACTTTTAACCAGTCCATCTTGTCAGTGTACTTAATTTTGCCACAAGTTCTGGTAGGTGGCAGGAAAGCCCATTTGAAAATTTTGATGCAGATACACAGTTCTTTTCTGATATACTCAGGATCAAAGGATCAGAATCACTTTCTGATAAACTTACCACTTGTGTGGCACAGACACCCACAGTTTCAGAGTAAGAATCTGTTGAACATATTGGCAGGGATTCATTATTTTAATAACCAGCTTTACCCCGTTAGCTCAGGGCTGCCCACTTCCATAAATTCTTTGTCATGATACTGAGGAGTGCTTAAACAGCGCTTTCATTCTCTTCTGCTGTCTTATAAAAAAGACTTAGCAGAAAAGGAAAAAAATAGATATATGTATATGTTTTCCAATAAGGTCCAGTGCTGGAAAGTAAACCCTTTCCTTTGGCTCCATTTTGAATTATTCTTGGAAGGAGACTTAAAAATATGTTAGTCTGTATAGTTTTTACCACCCCACCTCAAGTTTATATGCAGTTAGATGCATGATGTAAGTGCATAACTGGCTTCCCTGCAGTGCCTGAATTAGCCCATAGTGGTGGCCCAGTTAGAGAACTGAAGGAAGTGGCCTTTCTGACATCCCTAAAGAGTCGAAGCCCAGCTTCCTGGCCAGGTCCATGCTGTTGCTCTGAGGTCTGTCCTCCCATCTGTGTTAGAAGTGGGACTCTACACACATAGAAGAGTTACAGTTACACGGTGAATTCCAGGAACTCAGGACTGTTAGTAAAAGTGGATTGCAGATTCTTAAGGACCTGGTAGTCCATGTCCCTTCAGCTGTATTTATTTGCCATAAGAGACTTTCTGAAATCAAACAGAACACCAGAGCATTTGTAATTGGTACCCTTTTCTTCCATGTTTCTTCTGTAAGTTCCCCCCAAAACCCTGGTATAACAGCACGAGATGGCTAATAAAAATGAAAATAATGAACATTTATAAGGACCAGATCAACTCCTCCCTCCCCACCCCCTCACCCCGGCAGCATGGCGCTGATGTATTGGTTGGAGAGAGAATGTTTAAAGCCAGGAAGCTTATTATATGGTGGCTGTCAGACAACAAAGCCAGCCCACAGCCGTGATTTGCAGATGGGCAGGGAATTAGCTGTTGCTCTGCTAAGTCTTGACGTGGACCTGGGGAATAGACCCTGCTTGTCGCATTGTGTGTAGCTCAGATGAAATGTCATTTCTGTATCAGTCCAAATCAACCTTGAAGGTAAGAAGAGTGATCCTTAAACAGAGCCCGTCATGAACTTGAAACCTTCTCCAGACCTGCTGTTCCCCGGGCTTTTCATCTGCTCCCCTCATAGCACCTTCCTCCTCATCTCCCAGAGTGTCAGGTCAGATCCTGCCCAAACTTGAAGGCAAGAAAACAGTAGACTCTAATCAGTCAGTGAGCGCCGGTAATAACTGTAATAACTCAGACCCAAATGAGAGCCCTCATGATGACGTGCATCACGTGGGAAGGATGCTGCTTTGGGACTGAGATGCTTGAGAGAGAGAGATTGCGTTTCCTCCATTCTTGGTATTCCTTCAGCTTTCCTGCCAGGCGTACAAACCTAATAGTGCACTAGTCTGCATGCAATTGGTGCTAAATAAATACCTGCGTGCAGTCCTTCACTCCACTGGAAAACTCTAACGTGGAACCAGGCACCAGATCAAGTTACAGTAATTTTACCAACCAAAGATTTATCAGACCTTGGCGCTAAGGCTTTGAGGGGCTATAAAGTATATTTCAGGAATGTCCAGTAAATCGCATCAACCAGAAACCGCATAATATTGAAGGTGTATCTCATGCCAAATTCTTTTCTTTCTGGCAGGCATGGACCCATGCTGGCATTCTCTTAAAACACAAATACAGTTTCCTGGTGGGATGTGCCTCAATCTCAGATGTCATAGCTCAGGTAAATATGGTCTGTGTGTCAATCAGAGCTCCTCAGAGTCCCCTTCTGGCATGTGTAACTGATGTGTGATTTACATTCATTCACTGTGCAGTACATTTTGCATTCGACCTGGTTTTGCCAGCACTGTTATATCACATAGAGACCTCAATACATATTTGCTAAATGGTTGAGAAAAGGAAACTCGCTGTAATAAAAGTGTGTATAATCTTGCTAGAATACGGGCTGTAAGAATTTAAATTTAAATAAAGAGGTTTTGACCTTTATTTTTAAAGAGCTTGCATGTGAGGTGACTCTACAGTCATACCTAGTACCTTTTGGCATGTCTTAGGGTCACTGTGCACTTGCCTGGGTGCCCTCTGTGTGGCCTAACACTATGTCACTGTGTTCTAGAGAGAGGGGCTCTTAGGAATTATTCTTAAACGTTCTTATAATCCTCTGTTGTTACCATGCAGAGCTGCCATTCACAGGTCACTTCCCCACATTTAGAAAGAACCAGGAAGTTGATTCAGCTGCCTTTCCACGCCGTCTGAGAAGAAGGCCTACCTCCCACTCTCTGTTGGGTCCAATTCTCTGAGCCCTGGCACTCAACCCTGGCTTTCTGTCCTTTCTTCTTCTACCAAGGATAGAGCATGAACAATTTTAGTGGAAAAATCGATTGAATTCCTATGATTTATAAGTTAGACTAAGTTCCTACAGTCAGGGATTTGGGAGAATGATTTCTTCATAGAGGAGGAGGTTAGACTATATCTCTACATGCCCTTCCAAATTCTCATTTCTTTCTTTTTTCTTTTTCTTTTTTTTTTTTGAGACGGAGTTTTGCTTTTGTCAAATGGCATGATCTTGGCTCACTGCAACCTCCACTTCCCAGGTTCAAGTGATTCTCCTGCCTCAGCCTCCTGAGTAGCTGGAATTATAGGCACCTGCCACCATGCCCAGCTAATTTTTGTATTTTTAGTAGAGACGGGGCTTCTCCATTTTGGCCAGGTTGGTCTCAAACTCCTGACCTTAGGTAATCTGCCCACCTCAGCCTCCCAAAGTGCTGGGATTACAGGTGTGAGCCACCACGCCCAGTCTCATTTCTATTCTATGAACATTTCCATACATTTTTCCTTTCTTGCACACCCTGATCTCTTAGCCCCCTTCTTGAAATAATCTACTGTTGAACTGTTAGTATGAAGACCAATAATTTCCAGATTAATTGTGTTTACTCCGTGGATCACTATTATAAGTAGTTTAAATGGATTTCTACTAACACATTGTGTGTGTGTGTGTGTATGTGTGTAAATACTAGCAATACTAGCAACCATCATTCTTTGGTATGTCTTTGTTAATTTTCTTAAGAGTGAGTAGAGAATTTTGTCCCAGTCTTACTGTCTGTATCCTCTGGGAGATGAACTAGACTGCCTTATTCACTCTAATCACTTCATTTGAAATTCAGTAAGCCTCTCTAATTTCAAACACTGGCATCAGCAAGTCGGTGAGCATTTGTGAGCACACATTTGTAGATGTGTGTTTTTTTAAAGGCAAAAAAAAAAAATTCCTTAACTTTGCCTGAAATAAACATAGTAGCCATCCAAGGACAGAAGAAGAAAAGCGTATCTCTGAAAAAGACTTTGCCAATACACCTACAGCCATTTTCCTCCTCTGTTTTAAACCTGATCCTGGCCCTTGCCTGTTGAGGGAAGGCCTGCAAGTTCAGAATAAACAGATCTGGTTAGTGGGAGCGTGGAAGCCAAGTTCAGATGCCATCTGGCTTCAGGCTGTGCCTGGTGGAGTAGTTATTTTAAACCTTGTTGCTTGAGTTCCTACCACAATTTGGCTAGGGGAGTAAATTCTCTTTTTAAAGTCTTTTACCCTCAGGCTTCCGCTTATTACCTGAAAATATTTGTTAGGTATGAAAACATACCTAAGTTAGTAATGAGTAAATAGATTCCATGCAAAGTACTTTGAAATACCACCTTGGCATAAATAGCACATAATCACCAATCACCAGTGATAAAATGGAAATCATTTATAATGCCTCAAATTTCAATGGCAATTCTCGAGGGGGGGGTTGTTTTGTTTTGTTTTGTTTTCAAGTTTTACTAAATTAATGGGTTTCACATAATAGTACAAAAAACCTCTTGGTTTGGTGCAAACATGCAGTGCTTTTCTGTGCCGTCATTATTTTAAGTTATGTGTTCCAGTCAGTCATTGCCAAGGGATTCGTGAAAACATATTGCTGTTTTTGTTTTATTCCCTGGTCATCTGGACCTTCTTAGCTTGCTTGATATCAAGGTGAGAAATCTCAAGGTTGTTTGCCGTCTTCGGATTTCCATCCTGTAACTCCTCTGCTATCATCAGCCCTTGCCTTTCAAGGTCAGCTGACATTCCAAGGCTGGTCAGCTCATAATGTGTACATCCCCTGCATTCCTGTAAATTCCCTTATCTCCTGCCTTTTCATCTCAGCCTTCCGAGAAAATTCCTCTGAACCAACCCTGTGTTATGCATCTTCCTGCACTTCCGTGGTGCTTCTGCAAAAGGTTACACCATGGAACAAACTGATCAAACTGTGAATGCACAATCTTATCCCTCACCTCTGCTGACTCTGTAGGAATTATTTCAGAGGGTGTTTCTCTGCCTCTCACCTCCCAACATATAACCTCATTTCCCACCTCACAGAGTCAGTTGCAGCAACCAAATTCATCACCTTCCAGCCAACAAACCTACACACTTACCTTCCAGCCCTGCATCCTCCCCATTCTCTTCTCATTGTAAGGGACGAAGTGTCCCTCCCCCCATCCAGGGCCACTCCTCTGGGTCCTGGCCTGTGCTGCTTTCTCAGGAACCTGTTCCCTGCTTTCTCATGCATCGTTTCCCTTGTCCTGTTGTGCTCAAATCTCTGCCATGTTAACACAGCAACAAGAAGCTTCCTGTGTATTTCACCTAACTCTTTAGCTACACTTCTCTATCACTTTATAGCCAAACTTCCTGGGAGGGTGGCTTCTACTCACTGTCTTTTTCACTTCCCTTTCATTCTCTACCTACTTGAGGCTGACTTCCACCCCCATCAGCCCACCTAGATGGTTCTTACTAATCACTTTCCTGCCATTAAACACAGCAGGCAGCTTCCCCAATCTTCTCTCTGTTGACTATCCCCTCCTCAGTCACACACTCCTTCCCACCTGCCCTCCCACCGCTGCAGTCCTGGTTTTTACGTGCTTCAGCTTGTTTTTTCCATTGATATTTAGCCATTAAGGTTGATGTAGCTCAGGAATATGCATTGTCCTGCCTTTGTTCTCAGTATGCTTCTGAGGTCTTTGGAATGACTGGATCCCAGGAGGACTCTAGACAAAAGCTGGGCTGATTCTCTGATTTTTGCAGGACAGGGAGGTTAATACATTGTGAAGCTTGCTTTAGAGACTGTACCATTGGATAGAGATATAAACATTATTGTAATTTCATTCTCTCCTGACTCTGGTTATTTCAACTTATTCTACTTTTATAGGTTAGTATTTTAAATGTTAATATAAGTTGTTTTATAATTATTACTGTTGGTGTTTTTTGGCAGAATTTTCAGTGGCTCTTTTTTGAGGTAGGGTCTCACTGTTACCCAGGCTGGAGTGCAGTGACACAATTAAAACTCACTGTAACCTGAAACTCCTGAGCTCAAGTGAACCTCCCACCTCAGCTTCCAAAGTAGCTAGGACTACAGGCGCGCATCACCACACCTGGCTCATTTTTAAAAATCTTTTATAGAGATGGGGTCTCACTATGTTGCCCAAGCTGGTCTGGAACTGCTGGCCCCCAGCAATCTTCCAGCCTCAGCCTCCCAAAGCACTGAGATCACAGGTGTGAGCCATGGCACCCAGCCCATTTTTAGTGCCTTCGATCCTATAAACATTACTGTCTGTTTTCCTGTATACATCATTGATCACTTCTGTTTTTTTCTTTGTTAAATGTAGCCTAGTTCTCTGGTGTGTGTTACATACACACGTGAGTGTCCAGCCTCGAGAGGGAAAAGCTACTTTAAGTTGGTAATGAGTAAATAGATTCCATGCACAGTACTTTGAAATACCACCTTGGCATAAATAGCAAGTAATCACTAATCACCAATGGTAAAATGGAAATTATTTATAATGCCTCCCATTTCAGTGGCAATTCTCGAGGGGTGTTTTTTTGTTTTGTTTTGTTTTTGTTTAATTTTACTAAGTTAATGGGTTTCACACAATAGTACATCTTGCACCAAATCTCTTGGTTTGGTGCAAACATGCAGTGCTTTTCTGTGCTGTCATTATTTTAAGTTATATGTTCCAGTCAGTCATTGCCAAGGGACTCGTGAAAACATATTGCATAGATTGTTTTTTAAGCAGTAACCTTAAAAACGATGCCTTGAAAGATGCTTGTAGTTGCTTGAAAGAATTTTCATGGTGGGTATAACAGAATGATCAGTGTGTCCCTCCACTGAACTGCAAACATCTGCACCTGAGTTACATGAGAGCAACACTAGGCCATCATCCAGTTTTCGCCTCTCTTTGCATAAAAATCAAGGTCTTTGCTCAGAGGTCTGTCTCAGGTTCCAGAGCATGGCCCTGTGCTTCTGTTGATCGGTTCCTGCTTCTCCCCTCTGACCTGTTCCCGTTCTCCCTTCTCTCAGGTTGTTTTTGTAGCCATTTTGCTTCACAGTCACCTGGAATGCCGGGAGCCCCTGCTCATCCCCATCCTCTCCTTGTACATGGGCGCACTTGTGCGCTGCACCACCCTGTGCCTGGGCTACTACAAGAACATCCACGACATCATCCCCGACAGAAGTGGCCCGGAGCTGGGGGTACGTCTGCCAACCCAACTGTGATCTAAGACTCGGAGTAGAATAAAACTGTGTTCTACCTCTTAGAAAATGAGCAATCAGTGACATCAAAACATGAAATTGGCCAGGAGTCATACCCAGAGGCTGAGTGCTAGGTGTCTGCCGGGAAAGACAGTTGGAGAATTAATGAACTCAAACAGATGGATGTGATCTGAGATGTCACTGTCCAGTCTCCTTATCCCATAGGAGGAGACAGAGGCACAGAGAATCTGTGGCCAAGGAATAGATACGACATTCGTGGTTTCTCTTGCTCTTCTAAGTTACTCTGCAGTCAACAAAGGTTTCAGGACCCACGTTACCTTTGAGTTTACATTTCACTGTGTTTAATTTTATAGCAGGGATCCAGGCTTTGTTTATACTTTCTTCAATGTACCAGTCCCTTATTCAGGTACCTCCTGGGGACCGAGTACAACATTAGGTACCATAGGGCAACACAGAAATTTTGAGATATGGTCTCTACCCTCAAGCAGCATCATATCCCGTTTGGCAGGTCAGAACAATACAGAAGCAACAATTAAACAGTCATCTGAGACAGCACATCACCTGTATGAGGATTTAGGAGCCACTAACACTGGGAGAAGGATTGTAGTGATGTAGTGTAAGATGCCTCCTTGGAGGAGGCAGATCTTGCTGTGCCCTGAAAGTTGAATAAGAAACAAGTAGGAGTGAGATAGAGAACCTTAGAGAGATGACCAAAGCATTCTGTTTGTTGTAAGTATAAACCGTATCTGATTTCTGCGTGTGCTAATTTTCCCTTCCCATAGGTATGAGACATCATTTGGTTTGTCTGCATTTAGCTGTAAGGCATCTACAGCCCTAAATTCATCCCCTCACCTTACCCTGATCCCCACTTGGGCCACACATTACTTTGTGGTGTCAAGCAGTAATTGTTTTGACCACTTACCTCCATCCAAGGTCAGGCTGTCAGTGAAATCCTATCTAGTTATCTCATCACTAGGCCAACCACAAATTGGTCTTGATGGTAACAATCTGTCTCTTAACATTTAGCCACCAGCAAAAGGAAATAAAGTGGCCACGATGGTTCTGTGATGTAATTCTCACCCTTGTGAACAATCAAAACCAAAATTGCATAATGAAAGCCAGGCTTTAAAGATATCCCACACCTTTGCCACAGAAGTCTTAGAAATCCCTTGTTCTTTACATGCCTTTATTTTGGTTATGCTTTTGAGCAGTTTACATGACGTCTGTGAGAGCTCCGAGAATAAGAACCTCTGTAGTCAATTTCTACACTGCCAAAATAATTAGGCACATTTTTGTGAGCTGATTCCAAAATAAATTATAATAACTTTTTTATTTCTAAGAGTTACCTCTTCCTGACATGGCTTCTAGCCAGCCCATTTGATGAGATTAACAAAGACTTAATTTCAAACCTGTTTCTCAGGCCCTAGATGTGGGTTCTACCTTGGTTAGAGATTCCCTGAGTCCCAGTATGGAAAAGAGTGGTTGGGATCAATTAAATTTCAGTGTGTGTTTTAATTTCACAGCAGCTTGCCAGCTGTCTCAGTTAATTTCTATTAAGACTGAACATTTTATTTTAATTCAACTTGGCTTGTCTACAGACACTTTTCCTTATATTACTTTCAAGTATAATGAATTGGCTGGTGATTAACATACGAAGGAAAAGCTTTGATTCTGAATTGTTTTTTCCATTCTACTTGTAAAGTTTAGGTAACTTTTATCTTCGTTTCTTAATGTAGGGAGATGCAACAATAAGAAAGATGCTGAGCTTCTGGTGGCCTTTGGCTCTCATTCTGGCCACACAGAGAATCAGTCGGCCTATTGTCAACCTGTTTGTTTCCCGGGACCTTGGTGGCAGTTCTGCAGCCACAGAGGTAGGCCATGCTTTGGGGATGTGGGGCTTATAATCAGCTTGGTGGGGCAGGGGGTGCCGAAACTGATGTCCAGTTCTTCTTGAGAGCTCAAGTAATTCTCCAATTTTAAATTACCTGACAGTCACCCTAGGAAACCATAAAGATCTCGTTCAGTGACGTATAATCATGTAATTGTATATTTTTATGATTATGGGAGAAAACCTGTCATGCATGTCATACATCCTTCTTGCTTATCATATGAAGAACTGAGGCACAGAAAGAAAAGGTTAAAGGCACAGAACTCGCTGGAAGCTGGGCTAGTGTTAGAATCCAGGTTTTCTGACTCCTACTCCGTTTTCCATGTCCACGGAGCCAGCACCGGCCTCTTCACCGTGGGGGCAGAGGACGATGGAGCATGCCACGTGGCAGCCGAGTGGGACACACCCAGTGGCTGCAGGGCCGCTGCCTCTGTGTTGACCCAGCCTGCCCTCACCTGCCCTTCATCGTCATGCATGTGCCACCCCACCCGTCACCACCACACCCGTGCCTGGCCTGCCCACCTCAGATGGGGAGCTCCTTGATCGAACAGACTTTCTCTGGAAACTGGCAGCCACTCCAAAGAAAGAGTTGACTCATTTTTCCCTCTTTCAAGTTGGGTTTGAACAAATAGAATTACTTCATTGGCTTCCTCCTCCACTGCCCTCTGGAGAATTAATTCCAACTCTGGAACTGCTGCTCCCGAGGAAGGCTCATGGCTGCCCACGAGGGCCCCCTGTCCAGGGGCTGCCTCGCGGGGAGCGGTCTGGAGCCCTAACTGCACTGTCAGCATGTCTCCAGCCAGAGCCCCTGCCAGTTTCCATGTCCTGGGAAGCGGCTCATGTTCTCCTGGAAAGAGAAGCACATAAATCCGAAGCAGAACACTTTCTCTTGCTTCGGTGTGTTCCTGGATTTTGTTTTTTGAGTCATGAGCGTCATCTTGGGTGGCTACTGTAACACACGGTTTTTGTTCTTGAATACTTCAGTTCAAGTTTCTCATAAAAAGTATGGAACCCCCGCCACCTGTGTGCTAGAATTCCATCCTCCCCTTTAACAAAAGAAAAAGGACAAGTATACGTTAGAGCCATTTGAAAATTGCCCTCGATGGCATATAGGAACAGCACGTGGGGTACAGCGCTGGCATTTATTGGTCATCTGCTCATGTGCCAGGCATTTATGTACATTTCCTTGACTCCCCAATAACCCTATGGGATGGATATTATTCTTACTGTTCCGCCAGAGGAGCAAGAAGGAGAGCTGGGGGAGAGGTGGTGCTTTGCACAGCTGGGGAGCGATGAGGTGAAGGTTTGGATCCAGGTCTGCGCGATCCCAACGCTCCTTTTTGTTCTAGCACACCACGCCACACCACACTTCCGTCACACTGCTGGGGACTTGCCTCATGTTCCTGGAACCTCCGGGCATTGCCGTTTCGTTAATTAAAACAGATGAAGCTCGCTTTCCTCCTTCACAGGCTAGGCAGAGAGTTGAACACTGCCAGGATGTAGGTTTAGATGCTTTGTTTTCACTTTTCTTCCTTTTCATTCACATAGGGAAGGAACTGTCATTGTATTTTTCTCCTTTAAGAGGCGGGGTCTTGCTTTGTCACCCAGGTAGGAGTGTAGTGGTGGCACGATCATAGCTCACTGCAGCCTCGATCTCCTGGGCTAAAGCAATCCTCCCACCTCAGCCTCCTGAGCCACCATGCCCAACTAATATTTCAATTTCTTTTGTAGAGACGATGTCTCGCTTTGTTGTCCAGGCTGGTCTCAAACTCCTTGGCTCAAGCAGTTCTCCAACCTCAGCCTCCCAAAGTGCTGGAATTATAGGCATGAGCTACCATGTCTGGTCAGAAACTCATATTTTCATGGAAACACATTGATAGCTTTCTGCACAAAATGTGTATTTAATTTTCTTAAATTAAAAATCTAAATTGGGCCATAGTGACCAAACAGACTGGGAGTGAGTTGGGTTGGAAGGAGAGTAGCACAGAGCCATCAACAACCACCGAAAATGTCAGCGTCCCTGAAGGATGGAGTGGAGGCTTAGAGGTGGATCCCAAGGAAGAGACCCTCCGAAGAGCAGGGAGGGCTCGCAATTTCATTTTGAGAATCCAGAATAAATAGGGCTAGACTAGAGGGTTCTGTGTAGCTCAATGGAATGAGCAAAGATTCTGGAGTTGGGTGGACCTGGGTTGAAATCTTGGCGTCTCAGAGCAGTGGATGGTCTTTTCCCATCTTTATAGCCTACACTTTAAGATTAAGGTGTAATAAAACCCAAAGGGAAGGATTGAAACTGTCTTTGCAAACATATGACTGAGACAGTGAAAGAGATCTGGCTTAACTGACTCCATCTTGCTTCTAACCTCCCAGCCATCCTTGCTCTTTCCTGGGCATAGGCCAAACTAACTTTGGGAGAAACTTATAGTTTATAGTTTAAACAAAAATGGTAAGAGCAAAGCAGACCTCCTTCTTGCCTGGGGACTAGATTGCCTTTGTAGAACTAGCATTAGCCACAAGATTAGAAATGATGCTTTAGGGGTCATGCAGCCGGAGGCTACAACATTCTGACCCTCCCTAAGCTGCTCCAAAGATCAGTGCTTACTTTGCAGACCCTGCACTTGATGGATCAGCTGGCCCCACGCAGATCAATCAACTGGCTCATCCGAGCTTGTGGCCCCCACCCAGGAACTCACTGAGCACAAGAAGACAGCTCTGACTTCCTGTGATTTCATCTCTGACCCCAGTGCTCGGGGAGACTGATTTGAATAATAATAAAACTCTGGTCTCCCTCAAAAATAAAAAAAAAAAAGAGAAAAAATAAAAGGAGTCTTGGCTTCCCAGCCAGTGGTCTGCACCTCTTTCTCGTTGCATCCGCATAAAACATGATGCATCCCCATTGTTTCACGTCCACTTTGTTGGCTGGCTCATTCCACTCGCAAGGATGCGGCGGAGTGCCTGCCCCTAGGAGCCCAATTTGCTGTCAGTTCCCCCCGCCCCGGGCTGTCCTGTGACTGCCTGATGTTTGTCCCCCAGTGTGGAGGGCTCTTTCCTCAGTGGCTGCACCTGAGCCAGCGTGCTTTGTCACCTACTCTAGCTCCTGGAGGACTTTCTGCTGATACCCTGCTAACTCTGCCACCTCTTCCTGTTGCAGGCCGTGGCGATTTTGACAGCCACGTACCCCGTGGGTCACATGCCATACGGCTGGTTGACGGAGATCCGTGCTGTCTATCCTGCTTTCGACAAGGTGAGAACCCGTGCGGTGTCGTGTCTGAAACACGCTTTTGAAATGACTACTTGATAGACAGGGCTCTCTGACGAGGGACACTTTGTTGCTCCTCAGTCCTGCTTCCCTTTGTAAGGTTAATATGACGTTGGGGACGTTGAAGGAATATTTTCCTCAGAAAATAACAGGCAAGTTGAAGCTGATCCCGTGATGCTTTTCCAAAGTGATCTTCTGTAGTTACTTTCAGGTTATTCCCATTGAGTAATGATTTGTTTGCGAAAGGGAAAATAAACTTCCCCCAAAATCAATTTATGGAATTTTATTTCTGTGGTTTGTTTCTTTAAACGAATACTTTGTTGACCCCCTACCAGATGGCTAAGGTGTAGGCAGGAAGCCGTGCTCCTGGCTTCATGAGGATGTGGTTCTCTTTCTGTGGGCTGGCCTACCTGCGTGCTCAAGCCTGGCCATAGGCAAGACCTGGGTCCAGTGTTTTGATATGGCAGACGTATTCCAGTGGAAAGCCTCTGTTGACAGCTGCTGTGTCTCCCCAGCCACAAGAGTCATATAACCCTTCTGCTGTGTAACTTGTGACCCAGTCAGCACTGTCCTGCTGTCATTCAATAGAAGTCTATTTTATAGCATTATGATTTAAACCTATAGACTTTTATTAATACTCTAGAACAAATGGCTGGTGAAACATACTCCAAAAATAGTCTACAGTGTTTTAAATGATACGTTGGAAGGAGGCAAACAGGCTGCCACTTCTTACCACGAAGGGCGCCTGTTGTGCCTTGAATGTCCGCAGAACTAGCAGCCACTGCCAGCGTCATGCTGTCTTATCCCAGCCAGAGCCTGTGAGGTGAGGAAAGGAAGCCTCCTAGCCAGCGGTGTCCACAGCGCTCAACTCTGGCAGAATGGGCAGCTTGGCACTGGACCCTGGGTAATGCTGGTCCCTCCCGCCTTCCCCCACCACCGGCCTAACCTCTCCTGGGCACAGGAAGCCCTGGGAAGCCACACAACAAGGCTAGGCCACCGGCTGCAGGCTTCCCTCCTTTCTTCACATGGCCACCAGCTTTCAGAATGCCCCCCTGAGACCGTTTGTGGGTTCTGGGAGGGGCAAGGCCTGGGGAGCAGGGACTGGGGACCCCCTCTCCCCCACCACACCTTACAGCCTGGCCCAAGGGCATCCGCCCAAGCATCTCTGAAAGTGTGAGATGGAGACGGAGGATCAAGTCTGGAGTATCACCCACATCTGCCCTCCTCCTCCTCTGCTCCTGCAGTTCCCGAGCAGTTTCTCTGTTAGGGCATGCTTGTACAAACACACACACACATCCACCCCCACACACAGCCTGCTTCCACTTCCCTATCAGGACATTCTTCCACTGCCAGCCCCCAGGCCACTCTTCCCTGTCTCTATCACTTGCATCCTCTATTTCCCTAGAGATAGAGGATCACCTGGGAAGGGTAACCCACCTGAAAACCAGTGAGGGATTCCCCTGTACTGAGCTAATGGGCGATAGGCCCCGAACCCTGTACTGAGTGGAATTTCCTCAGTGGACCATTAGTTAGGACCCGTCACCTACTGGACTGTGACTTAGGACCCGCCACCTACTGGACTGTGACTTAGGACCCGCCACCTACTGGACTGTGACTTAGGACCCGCCACCTACTGGACTGTGACTTAGGACCCGCCACCTAGTGGACTGTGACTTAGGACCCGCCACCTACTGGACTATGACTTAGGACCTGTCAGCTACTGGGAATATTCTGTTGCAGCATCAGGATGCAGAGATCTCCTAAGAAATGCTTTTGGTTCCTGCTTCACAGGCCTCTGAGAGTGGACTCAGAAGGCATGAGTCACTTGCTGGAGAGAGCAGACACTGTTTGAGTGGGTTTAATTCAGTCTATAGATAGAAATCATTGTTTTCATTTCAAGGCACGTGTGTATAGAAGTAAATCCTAGAAAACCAGCATGAATGTATGTCTTTTTGCTAAATTTCCGTTCTAGCTCCTGATGAATAAGGTGATCATCTGATGAAACTGATGAGAAGGGCAAGTGCTGAAGTGTTAGAACCTTCTGGCTGCCTAGGTCTCATCTGAGATTATTTTTGGCCACCTTGAAATCATAAAATTTAACAATACAACAGTGTATGGTTTCAGTAAGAGCATCCAAGAAAAACATTGTTTTATTCTTGATCACAGAGGCTAGGAAATAAAAGAAATTCCTTTAACGAGCATACCTCTAGCCAGAACTTCAAGTTACTCCAAATCCTTTTAAAACCTCGCCCATTGTTTCCAAGCATTCCAGCGAGCCACGCCAGCCATTTATGTGAATACCATCTATTCACCAAAATCTTAGGCACCTCCATGTGGACTTCCAGAATTTGCTGCATTGACAGTTGAAATCCTTAGCTTCTTTGTGGGCTCCAGAATCAGAGATTTAAAATTTCTCACATACCTTCTGGGAGTTCTAGCTAAGTAGGAGCTGAGAGAGGTTTCCACTAGTGCAGATTCTAATGTTCAGTTCTCTGCAAAAAATGATGCTTCTGAGCCAACTGGGCCAACAAACAGAAACGCCAGTGCTAATCTAATGATACTTGCTGGTTTATTCCAACGATCTTCATGTGAATATGTGCCATTTTGCAAATCACAGTGCCCCTGAAGGAGCTGTGGTACATTGCTGTCCCCATGGCAGTATGTGTGTTTTGCTGAGGTTCCCTAATTCTTTCCAACATAGGCCTCCTCCTCATCGTACCCAGCAGGGCACTGCTGTTACAGAGAGCGGTCCTCTAACAGATCCAGGGTGAATGGAGATGGAGGTCTCCAACCACTGGGACTTGTACTTTGCCATAGAGCAGTCTAGAAAACAGATATGTTTTAGAGACTAGAATTAAGAAAACGTATACTCACTCAGAGGTTGGTCCTGGTGGTGGCAGGGATTTGAGAAATGACCTTAGCCTCCCCGTAAAGGAAAATCACAAGCTCTTTTCCACGTGGATCCCGTAGTAGCTGTGGGTGTGTGTTTCACGAGGCTGGATGCGGAGCCAGGTGTTCAGGGTTTGTTTTTGTGAGTCGGCTCTGGGACTAATTAGGTCCATAATGAGGCCAGGGTTATTTTTCTCTGCCAGTTTTTGTGGTCCAGGGGCCAGACCCTCATTTTGCAGAGGTGAGAAGCACGCTTAGCATTGCAGCTGGAGAGCCTCGGCAGGCCCCTTTGACTGCCAAACTGGGGGACATCTGAGCCCCCCGCAGTCCTTCTTGAAATCCAGTGCAGCAGATGCTCTTGGGGTATCTCTTCTACTCAGATGTTGTGCTGAGTGCTTCTAGGGGAGACACGCAGGGCGTTATCTCAGCAAGCACAGCCTCACCGGGGTTGGACGCATGACAGGACGTGATGCCTGCCCTCAGAGAGCTCCAGGTTCATTGGGCTTTACAGGAGGTAGGGCTCAGCTTGGAGGTCAAAGGTCAGAGAGGCTTTTGGGAACAGATGGGCTGTGAAGATGATGGGCCTTCGAAAGAGGGATGTTTTTGAAAATCAGGATTCAATGGCAGGAGGAACAAAAGCGCCAGGTGTGTCAGGGGAAGAGCAGGAAGCCCCATTTGGGCTAGAAGTAGAGAAGTCACGGCTGGAGGGTGAGTCCATGTCAGATTGCACAAGGCCTTGAATGCCCGGTGGGATTTATAGTCCATTTGGTAGGGAGGAGAGGAGCCCTGGAGGCCCCTGAGCAGGGCCATGGCATTTAGGGAGATGCCCATGGTGGCCAGATAGAGGGTCTGCTGGGACCAGGAGTGGGGTGCATGGGGCAGGAGCAGGCTTCAGAGCTGAAGCCCCAGGACTGGGCGAGGTGGGCTGCCCAGGCCTAGGGGAGGTGACTGAGTTGGACGATGCTACAGGGCGTTAAGTCGAGAATTCCCTCAGGTTAATGATCCTGTGCAGGGACCTGACAGTTGCCCAAGAGACACTCAACATGACAGCCACCTGGCAAACTGTCACTTGAAACCTCTTTTCAGACACATCAGATAAAACAAAAGCAAGATGCTCTTCAAGATCCCCTGGTGGGTTCAGCCAAGGATAAGCAGGGCCCATTCATGACTGTGGTTTTCTTTCCCCAGAATAACCCCAGCAACAAACTGGTGAGCACGAGCAACACAGTCACGGCAGCCCACATCAAGAAGTTCACCTTCGTCTGCATGGCTCTGTCACTCACGGTAAGGACAGAGGCTCTCTCTGTCTCTTCTCTCTGTTTGGTTTTTGTAAAGGGGCAAGTTGCTATTTTAAAGGGGGAAATCTTAAACTTTCCACGACGTAACGTGATGCTAGATTAATTAGCAACCTCTTCAATACATGTTCTTCTTCAAATGTGAACGATTGTTATTCAAGGAGGCCCTAGAGTCTAAGAATAAAGGACCTACTTCAGGCGTTTCTTGGGACTTCTCAAATGCTGCAGAAAGGAAGAGGTTGCCTTTAATTGGAATAATACACTTGTCTTGCTGAAAAATTTCCAGCCCACTTTTTAAACATCAAGAGTCAACTTTACAACCATCCCTGTCTCTTTTCCAAATTTAATCAGCATTATTTCAGTTTTCCCCAGTAAAAAGTCCTTTCCAGTTATGTTTGTGCTGACATAGCCTACTTACTTGGCCATCGCATGCCCAAAGGCATGGAGCCCCTGTGGGATCCCAGGCCCGTCTATCTGCTGAGGATACAGCTGTGAGCAAGCATGTGTGACACTGTGTCAGCAGCAAAGCCTGTCAGTATTTCTATGTACAACCTTAAATAAACAACACACATCCTTCATTATCAAGCCCCTGCGAGTAATTCAGGTGTGTTTGAACATTGATAATGTTCAAAAAACATGGAGAAATTAGGTGCATGCTTTATAGTCCAAAGGACGTGGTATATAATTTAAGGTTATTTAGAGCATTTATCAACAGTGGCAAAAAACCTACCGTTTATAAACAGCCTTCCATTGGAGACTGTGCCCTTTGGGTTATAAAGATGGAGATGAGAAGAGGATAAAAAGAAATAAAGGTCTTTTGAACTTGGTTCTGCTTTCCATTTTATTGTTGTGACAACACGTGTCTTATTAAATCCTGTAGAAACGTACATTCACATATACAATAGAAGTATTTGCAGAAATGTCAAGATGTGTGCAGTTGTCATTGTCAATAACTAATAAAGAGGACCGAAGGCCATGAAGGTGTTGGATTATGCCAGTAACGGGAACACAGGAGCTGGGTCCTTCTTACCATCATCACAAGAACCGTGGAGCTTGATGAGCTCTGTTAGTGGGCCATTAAAATCAAGGCCTGTGTACATTTTAAACCTTTAATGGACATTTTGAAAGCCTGCAGCTTAATATTTGATCCGTTGATCCAACACCTAATTAGATTGTCACAAGGGCAGTGCCCATCACAGAAGACCTCTGACACTGCCAAGTCATGACCTCTTGTCCTCAGCTGCCCTTGTCACCACCAACACAGCCCCTTTTGCCAGCCTGTCCCTGTGGAACATGGGGGCGTTGGGAACCTATTCCAGCACTGCCTCACTGCAGAAGAATTTCTGATAGCAATGCCTGTTTGAGCGGGGCCGGTTCCCCAGGCAGCCCTGCTCCCCTGTTAGCATGATTTCTCTCTGTGGTGTGCAAGCTTTTCCATAGTTCCCTAAAACATTAGCAAAACACTGAGCAACTTTGAAACCATTTAAAAGAGCATTTTAGGCAGAACAGAGCAGGTTTCTATTCCAGGAACAGACCTCAGCATTTGGAGACTGTGTTAATGGCTAGAAGTCCAAGGTTGACTCTGCTGTGAGGCCCTATGACTTGGACCTCACCTGCTTATAAAGCTGACAACTCCTGGCCGCCGCTGGCTCTGCAGTCCAGAAACTCGCCTCCTCTCTCTTCTTTCACACTGTTTAACATCTTCCCGCAGCTAGAGTTGAATCTGATGGAGAGCTTTACCGATTGAGCTTAAGGACATTCTCCTCTCTTTCAGGTCACAGGCAGTAATTTGTGCTTCTAAAAAGATTATTCTGCAGCAAGTTTATTTTGAAATGATGATGACTTATAATCTGGGAAAGTGCTTACATTTCCCAGGTAGAGGCTTTATTTATTATTCTAATCCTCTATCTAAAAACCATCTGTGACTTGAAGTTCCTCAGGGTAAATTTTCACCTTCTAGAAATAGAGATTCAGAACCCTTTGTCGGAAAGGAACTTGGAGATGAACTAGTCAAAACCCATAATTTTTCAGAAGAGGAAGTGATTCACACCGGACAAGTGACTCGTCCAAGTATCCAGTAATAGAAGCGGCTACAGCCCAGCCTTCAGGGCGTGCTCTCCAGGACCCTGTCCTCTGAACCTCACTGTTCCCAGAGAGTAGGAACAAATATTGGCCCTTAGGCCTCCAGATCAGGGCATTCACCACCATGCCTGAAATGGTGGTTTCTTGCCCATTAAAAACCATAGTATTTGAGTTTGTGGTTTAGGAAGAGTCTCACATACACCATCCTTACGATGATTCAATCAATTGATCCAACATCTTGGCTAAAGGAATTTTCACTGAAAGACACATAGAAAAAAATATAAAGGGACATTTTTCTTTCTTTTTTTTCTTTTTTGAGATAAAATCTCACTCTGTTGCCCAGACTGGAGTGCAGTGGCATGATCTTGGCTCACTGCGACCTCTGCTTCCCAGGTTCAAGCGATTCTTCTGCCTCAGCCTCCCCAGTAGCTGGGATTGCAGGTGCCCCCCACCACACCCAGCTGATTTTTGTGTTTTTAGTAGAGATGGGGTTTCACTATATCGGCCAGGCTGGTCTCGAACTCCTGACCTCAAGTGATCTGCCCGCCTCAGCCTCCCAAAGTGCTGGGATTACAGACGTGAGCCACCGCGCCCAGCCAGAGATTTTTCTTTCTAAATTAAACATTAAACTGTCCCTGTAATGAGTACACACCTTATTCTATCTCTTACTGTATTCATTCTTGTACATCTTTTGCTGCTCTTGGGCTCCAAACTTCATGAGGCAGGGTCTACAATGTCATCTTTTATCCCCAGGGCTTAGCATCCTGCTTGACACTGAGAAAGGTCACAGTAACAGGTTAACAAACACAGGAATCAACTAATCCTTAATTATGAGACAACGGTTGGTCAGGTACCGATAGCATTCACCCTTGTGAACGACTATCTTCTCATTTATGCTCCGTTTGTACTATCTTAAAAGCTTTTAAAAGGCCCTTGATTTTCTAGTCTACTTTCTTTTTTCTTGGTTTTGGGGTTTTTTTTTTTTTTTACTTTTTGTATAGAAAGGGTCTCACTATGTTGCTCAGGCTGATGTCAAATTCCTGGCCTCCTAAAACACTGGGATCCGAGGCATTAGCCACTGCACCTCGCCTGTTTTTGTTTTTTGAATTTTGAAACTTCTTAATGTCAGGAAATAATGAAGCAGAGGTCATTGAAACACTTGAAAGCAGCACACTTGGTGTTTATTTCAGCAGATGATTCTGTGTATACAGTAGGAGCTGCGTGATGATGCCACAGCCCTCCACACATTGTCCAACATTAGCACGCTTTCCCGCACTCGGCTGCTTTGGGAAAATCAACTTTTGTCCCTGAGTCTTTGAGAAGAGCTGACCCCCAGGATCCTGTAGACACCCAATGACTCAGTGATTCAAAGGAAAACGTATACTGTCCAGAATCAAAATGCATCCTTCCCTCAGAACGGCCCCCTCTCCAGGCGCTGACATTTGGAGTTCAACACCTGCCTTTGCCTGTGAAAAACACCGCGGTGTCACTGCTGACCATTAGTAAGAGGCTCATTTCAGCATGCTACAATGATGTGTTGGTTTATTCCCTATTACACATTTTCTATTTAAATTTAGAGTATCTGTCCTACTCCAGAAGTTGGTTCTGCCCTTGTACTCTTATCCAGCAGTGTTGTTGATCACTGGGTTTTCAGAAAAGCAGCAGATGTCTTCTGCCCAGTGTGGAAGAAGGGCTGAAGTCAGAGGGGTGTGGAGTAGGAAAATGGAAGTGTTCGCGTTTTCCATTAGCGTCTTGCTTTCAGTCTTTCAGAGCTGCGGTTAGGCATGCTCAGCCGGAGGTTGATGGATTGGTTTCTCTAAACCGTCTGATGGGCATGAGGATGAGAAAAGGGGGTACCTTTAGTTGATCCAAAAGATTAACTTCAAAACAGTAGAACTGTCAGATGAAACGGAATCTCCTTGATTGCAATGAGGGAGCAGACACAGTGCAAACCCAGGTTAGCAAGGCGCCTGTGGACTGACAAGCAGCTGTTTGGGGTGAAGGGAAGCACAGTTCAAATGTGGCAGAAAGCCATTTGGAAGAACAGCTTCAGAGGGTCTGCTTTCACGGGAAGCGAGCCGGGTTGCAGCCACGCAGAGGAGGCTGCGCCGCAGCCTCGCCATGCAAGGTGCCTCCGCCGGTGCTGGAATCAGAGCCGGTGGTCGCCTTGCCCTGAGCCTTCCTGAACAGCTGTGGTGGCTGTCGCTCATGTGACCGGCTGTAGAGCACAGTGACAGTGAGTGTGCCGTAAAAGGCTGTACTTCTCTAGGTAGACACTCCTGGAGCCACAGGCTGAGCCGGCAGTGAGCGCACAGAGAGGAGCAGGCGCCGCAGTCCTTCCTCTCAGGTGGGGAAGGCAGCCGGCAGTGCTGACCTTACAGAAACCCAGCCTCCTCCAAACCCCTGGGACCTATCATGGTGCCCTCCTGGACTCTAGATGTGAGGATAAGATAGAAACCACTCACCGTCATGGGCTATATCTTCCAACAGTCCTTTTGGTGGGGAAGAAGTGTCCCGAAAGAGTAATGGACCTCCCTATTCCTGGATGCCAGGCCCAGTGGTGAAAGCCAGCCCATCAGGCTGCTAAGTTTACCAAATGTGCCAATTTACCCAAAACATGACTTTTAAAAACTATTTCTGAAGTCCATAGCCAATCATATTTTAATAAACAGAAGTTTTTAACACCTTTGGATGCTTTTAGTTGGCGAGTTTCCATTTTGATTTCACAATGACATTTTCAGAACATTTGGTGTTTCTCTTCTCAAGCTCCCTGCTCTGCTCTACTCTGGGGAGTTAGTGCCAAAAGAGGGGGGCCCTCTGCTTGAGGAGACATAGAGAAGGATCCATGCAAAGCACAGGCTTGGCCTCTGCTAAGGTCTCCCCAAACCATTAGCACACAAAGGAAAT